TCAGGGTTCTCTGCTTTGCCTGACTGTCTTCAGTGGGTGTACTTTTGTGATAGGAGTTCTGTGGGACTCAGTGGTGCTGTCTCTTTGATCCCACCATCTGAATCCTCTAGGGTTTCCCATTCTTCTGTTTGTGTGTGCTCCCTTCTTGTACTTGAGTTTCACTTGTTGGTGGCTCCTTTGTTGATGGATTTTCCCCTCCAGCAGGCTTACTGGTAGTCAAAACTCCGACTTTGTCTTGTATGCTCTTGTACATGTATTGTTCAATAAAGCAGTATTACCAGAGAACCACACCTACCCCAGCAAAAAGAACCTCCCTACCAAATCAGCAATCTGAATCTCAATTGAGTAAAGGTTAATAACAGTGAAGAGAGATTATGAATATTATAAGATATAACAAAGGGAATATGAGATGACTGAAAGAGGGATAATGTTTTTGAGTGGGAAGAGGTAGGAGAATTGATAAGAATAAGGATAGAACCAAGGTGAAGAAAAGAAGAGAAGGAAATTTAAATCATAAGTAAAACACAGAGGAGTAATGGGAACAATGTGGTAAAAAAAAAAAAAAGGGAAGTGTATACTATGAGGCCTGAAGTATAATTGACAAAGTATTGGACCAACAGGAGCAAAGTTACAGAAAAAACACAGCAGGGTCAATAGCAATGACAGATGATTGAAGTTTAATAAGTTGAAACTCAAGTAAGAATATTGTACAAAAAAGAAAAATGAATATGAGATGTCTACAATAAAGAAAAATTATTTTGAGAGGATGGGGGAGCAAGCTCATAAGAGTAAGGAGTAAAACCCAGATTGAGAGAGGGAAAAAAATGAAATACAATTCCTCACTCAACTGATCAGGGACAGGGGAAGGTGAAACGGAGTGAGAGTGGGGAAAGTATTCTATGTGATTTAAAGCACAAACAAGTAGGAGTTCCTTTAAAGAAGTACACGATAACTGTGGTATTTTTCCCAACTAGCCACTGCTTATAAAATGTGGAAAGGAAATAATATTCTTGTAAGAGGATAAAAAGAATGTGAGCTAAAGAGTACTTATGCAAGGTTAAATGGAGGAGAAACAGTGAGAGTTAGGGATAGGAATAGGGCATAGTGTGAGAGAAAATAAAGTTTACAACACTAATAAAGCTCAGGAAGATGGTGAAATGGATTAAGACCAGAGAAGGTTGCTGTGTGAGGTTTGGAGTAACAATCATATGATGAGATATATATAATCTGAATAAAAAGAATGAAAAATAAAAGACCAAGAATAGTGAATTGTTTGGAATATGAGTGAAGTGAAAGAAGAAAATTTAAAATGCACTATGAAAGGGAGTAAAAACAAACAAAAAATAGACAAAAATAAACAAAAAATAAACAAAAAATGAAAAGAAGAAAGAGAAATGTAAAAAACACTCAAGTTCTTATAAAGAACAACGTGAAGTTTGTCTTAGTTGTTGATGTTCACTTTGGTACTTCTTTCTGGATCTATTCCTGGTTTTCTCTCAGCTCTAGGTTTTACTGTTTTACCCTTTAAAAAAAAAGTCCCTCAATGGTTGTTAAGCCTTTGCAGTTCTTCCAGGTTCCTGGAGGTCGTGGGGTGTTAGGTTCAGTTTTCCTTTTCCTTTGTTTCTGCTGAGGAAGGGGGCTCTGTCTGGGCTACAATAATCACCTGTGCCCAGTTTCCAGCCCACTGCCCTCCCAGCACCCTGAGTCCCTCACTCTCCACTCTGTGCAGTTACATGGGGCTGGCACCAATAAATCACCTCACTTTTCACCCTTTTGATCAATCCATGAGGTGTGCTGTGGAGTCAAATTGCACCCACAATCTTCCCTCCTTGCTGGCTGAGCAGCTGCACGTACAAGGTCCCTGCCCAGCATGCCTCAGTTCCCCTTTTGAAAAAATCTCTGTGGGTGCCACTACCACTCAGAGCCACTGCCTGGCTTTCCAACACACTCCAACCCTCTAGCACACAGGTGGCAAACACAAGGCCCACTGACTGAATCCGACCCTCCACCTTGTCCTATATGGTCCTGCACCTTGTTTCTGCCTGGCTGCAGCGCCAAACTCCTTGCCCCTAGTTAAGGAGTAATTACACTTTTACAGTCCTAAAGTTACATTTGGCCCTTTGAAGCAACTGCAAGGCTGATGTGGCCTCCAGTGAAAATGAGTATGACATCCCCACTCTAGCAATTCAAGAGTACATCTCAGTCACAGCCTGTGGTGGCCCACCTCTTATCTAAGCTACAGGCGCTACCAGGATCCCACTCACTCTCTGGCACTCTCCCAGTTGGCCACCACCTGTGTGCATGTGTGCTGCCTCTTTTTCTCTGGTAACTTTTTGCATTCCAGTCTCTGCTGGGGCAGGTCTGTGATTTCCCCAGCGTCGGAGGGCAGGAAGCCACTAGACTGCTATCGCTGACCTGGCTGTCCTCAATGTTGTGCCTGTGGCAGCCACGGTTTTTGGCGTCAGGCCAAGGGGCTTTCCCTGTCCTATAAAACCTCCTTACCGTCCATTTTGAACTGTCCTCTGTACATTTTGGCTTCCAAACTTCATATCAGCTAAGATTCTGTTGGCTGTTCACTTTGTTTTTCAGAAAATCAGCTAAGTGTCCCAGTTGGGTACACAAGCAAGTGGGCTCAGCTTCCACCTACCTTGCTGACAACTTTTCTCTTGAATTAACACTTTCAATTAATATAAATATTTTTTCCCCAAACAAACACAAAGTAGTGGAAAACACTACTCACCAATATTAAGTAATTTCAAATAGGAAAAAAAACTTAAAAACCAGAGACTGAAGACTCACAGGACAAATAGGAAAACAAGTAAATATAAAATATAGGCATGTTAACTTAGGAAAAAAATAGCAGAACAGAAATTTATCTCAGATAAAAAGATTAAATTATAGCCCTGGCTGGTGTGCTTCAGTGGTGAATGCTGACCTGCAAACCAAAGGGTCATCGGTTGGATTCCCAATCAGAGCACATGCCTGGGTTGCAGGCCAGGTCCCTGGTAGGTGGCACATGAGAGGCAACCACACATTGATGTTTCTCTTCTTCTGCTTCTCTCACCCTTTCCCTCTAAAAGTAAATACATAAAATCTTTTTAAAAGATTAAATTATAGTGCATATAAGGGAGATGCAATATGGACGAAAGTACAATAAATGTCATACAAGACAGAAATGGATAGATAATATAGTGGGGGTGGTGACAAGAATCAACAAGGATGAGGAAGAAAATAATAGAAATAAAGGTAGTCAAAGTGGAATCTCTAAGTAACAAAACGATTAAGTACTGAAGAGGACTAATATTTAAAACTATGATTCAAGGAAACTTTTCATAAAGAAAACAAAAACTGAGTCTACATACTGAAAATGCTGTCTTTGTTCCAGAGAGAATTGACCCAGAATGGTAAACACCAAGAGAGATTTCAATAAACTAGATGTATTCAAAAGTAAAGGGAAAAAAGTCCTCTGGGTTTCAAGAGAAAAAGTCTATGTCACTTGTCAAGGAAAGAAAATAAAATTGAGCCCTGGCTGGTGTGTCTCAGTGGATTGAGCACCAGCCTGCAAACCAAAGGGTCACCAGTTTGATTCCCAGTCAGGACACATACCTGGGTTGCAGGCCAAGTCCCAGTGGAGGGCACGCAAAAGGGAGCCACACATTGACGTTTCTCTCCCTCCCTTTCTCCCTTCCTGTCCCTTTGTCTAAAAATAAATAAATAAAATCTTTAAAAAAATAAAATAAAGTTGATGCCATGGTTATTAGCAACATAAATAAATGAAACAATAGTAGAACTGTGTTTTCAAGAAAAAATTATGAAACTAGAATTTATATCCAGTCAATATGCTCTTCAATTGAAAATACTACATTTCGGATTCTTTGCAATATAAATAAAGCAATTATAAGAGGAAGTTTAATAGCCTTAAATAGTTCTATCGACCAAAATGTAAGAATGAAAATAATTAGCAATATGGCTTTTTAGCCATTACCAAACCATATAGAGACAGTGTGAGTTACCCTTCCCCTTTCTTCCAGTAGTTATTGATTTCCAGTTAAAAAGTTGTATTATGTTTCTTTCCCCCATGGCTGCTACTCTGATGTAAATGTTTGTTTACATTTCTCTAAATCTAGCAATCCTCTGATGTTCCATTCTATTTTAGTTTTATTCTAAACTACTAATCTCCTTTTATAACTCTAGTGCTTACATCTGTCTCTTCAGTGACGCCCCATTATCTGTATTTGCATCTACAAAGTGAAAGAGTGAACATCCCAAAGATGTATAAAATAGTCCACATAGTGTGAAATAGAATATTGACTCATATTTTTCTTTCATATAAATAAAAAACTTGTCAATTTTTAATAAAAGACTTATAGATGTAAATATATAGTATATTCTTGACATTGTGTATGCAAAATATATTTTAATATCCAAAATGACAAAATCAGAATTACTCCATGTTTTGTAACCTGACTTGATTATCACATAACTCATTTGGTTCTACACCGTGTTCTCATATTAAACTGTCTTATTTGTAGTTTTGTAAAGGCATTTTTGATGCATCTGTGCCTTTGCCAATTGTTTTCTTAATTCCTGAAGTTTGCATAGTAAGTTTGACCACCTAATAAAATTTAACTTAATACAATGTACAAAACTTCTGCCCCATTTGTGAACATCTTATATCTTATACATACTTCTGTCATAGCACCTGCTATGTGTACTACATTTAAGAATTTACATCCCTGTCAGAATGTAAGCTCCTTGATAATAGTTGTTTTCATTTATGTTTGTATCTCCAGCAGAAATCCAGGCATCGAGTGATATCTTAGTAAATATATACTGAATAAATATTTTATCTATATATAAAGCAGGGTGCAGAGTAGCACTGTATCTTAACTTTTCAGGATAAATTCAATAGTTAGCTCAGTAAGACTTGGTTTACACATGTCTCTTCAATGGTACTTTATTCTGCTTACTTCAGTTTGAACTGAAATATGTTGTTACAGGGACCAGTAACATTCAAGGATGTTATTGTGGAATTCACCCAGGAGGAGTGGCAATTACTGGACACTGCTCAGAGGACTCTGTACAGGGAAGTGATGCAGGAGAACTATGGTCACCTAATCTCAGTGGGTGAGAAAAACTCCCCTCTCTGTAATTCTCAGTAGTTTGCATTTTCTTCCCCAGTTGTGAAATATGTAAGTTTGAATATTTGTTTTGTCTCAGGTGTTAAAATTGATTAGTCCATTGTAGGTACCAGAAAAAATGTGTCTTCACCCTCCCAACTGAAGAGTCTAAATTTGCTAAGCCTACTGGGATCTTCATTGTTCTGCTCTGAAAACTGTACTTTTTGTCTTTCAGAGACCCTAAATTCCAAGCAATTTTTATTTTCCTTTTTTCCATTAATAGGTTATTGTGTGAATAAGCCAAATGCACTTTTCAAGTTGAAGCAAGGAAAGGAGCCCTGGATATTAGAAGTAGAATTTCCACATCAGAATTACCCTGGTGAGTGAAAAAGTATAACCCTTATTATTAGATTTGAGGTAGTTCTTGCTATTTGCCTTTTGAAATATTTTTAAGGAGTCTTTTTTTAAATGCCTTATATGTCTGGAAATGAATGAAGACATTTGATACACATGTGTAAGCAACATAAATTACACCTTCAATTTCCATTCTCTCCACTGGAATTCCACCCCCCCCCCCGCCCATGCTCAGTATTTTTATAGGTTTATCTCTCCTCTTACATACCAACCTTGACTTAAATGTTTATTTTGTATTTTTTCTAGAATTTCCAGTTAGTCTCTACCATCAAAGTATGCAACTATAATCCTAAGGTGTTTATAAGTCTGACTTATACATTTTTTCAAATGCCATTTTCCTTCTTTTATTAATAACAAAATGTTTTTATTACTTTCTGTACCAGTTTTAACTTCCTATTCTCTCTTTAAACTCTGAAATTAGATTATAAGTCATTATGTTACAGAATGGACCAGGGGAGGCAAATACTATTACCAAATGGATCCCCCCTTCTTCCCAGGGTCCCCCTGTACTAGGTTCACCTTGCCTACTGCCAGGGAATTATATGTCAGAGATTGTCATATAATGTCAGAGTGTCTCTGGCACTCAATGTCAGAGGTTGGTGAAAAGGAAAGGAATTATTTATTCAAAAGTTATACAAACTTAAGCGTAATGACTTAATGTCTTCATTAAAATCCCAAAGTCCCTTAAAACATCCATAAACATATACAGTCCTTCCTTCCACTCTTTGCCCAATCTGGGGCACTGTATCTCAGGAAAAGAAATGTAAGACTGTGGCTCAGGTAGTCCCCGGTTCTTCCTAGTAAGCTGTGCTCAGCTGGCAGGCCTTCCTTGGTTCCCAGCACCATCAGCTGTGTCACCTACCTCCATGATCTCCAGTTTTTAATCCAAACCCGTGGTGGCACCTTCTCCTGTCACACCAACAAGAGTCCTTTCAACCCCTTTCTTTCCCTCCGGACCTCTTCTGCATTCTTCCAAACCACTAAGAGAGAGCTCTGCATCACTGCTACATCTTGCTTTCCAGCTACCTAAACTGTGTGACAAAGGGAGCACCCAAAGCCATGTGGTTCCCCTTCTATCACCAAAGCTGTGTGGGTACCCCCTCCCATGGCTGCCATGCATGGGTTTAAATCCCAGCACCATTTTTCTTCTGCATCCCCATTTCCAACTTCTCCCACAATCAGCTACACCTGCCAGCATTCCCATACTTCTCCAGCTTTTTGGGGTGCCATAGTAAGTCCGGGCAGGCATGGCCCTGTGGCATGGAGCCAATCATCTCCAAGCTCTCATGCAGGCACTGTAACCAGGGGGAGTTACCTCCCAGTTATGTCATGAGATGGAAGTCACTCCCATCTCCCTGGCTCAAAGCATGGCCACAGGCATTTATCATATCCATGGAACCAGTTAAAAGTTATGGATATGTTAAATGACTATGCCTGAGGTTAGTTGCAAAACCGTTGCTATGAGAACAACTCTCAAGGGCCCTACTCCATGTGTCCCATCCTCCAGTTCAGACTTGTGGAGGTGAGGACATCTTATATTTTTAATATTTCCTGGACACCCTGAGTTCTGGACCTTATTACAAATCCCTCTGTGTGGGGCTTCCCTGGCTGCATCCTGTCACAATTATGCCATTCCTCAATTTTATTATTTCAGAGTTGACACTTTCTTCTGAATCGTGTTTGTCTTTTACACAAAGTACTGGTTATCCTTCCTGAAATAATACTAAGATCAAAAAACAAAAATGAAAAGTAATCTCACTTTGCTTCCTTAAATGCTTTTCAGATATTTTCTGACTTGTGCACTCACGTGCAGAAACCATGCCTGGTATATATTGATTGTTCAAGAGATATTTGTTGGAAGAGTCAGTTTTCCGTTAACAAGAGACAGACACTTTATATCTTCTGCCCTTTATAGTAAGTTCTACAATGGTTTACATACCTTTTCTAGGCCAAAGTTTCATTTTCTAGGCTGAGAACTCCTAAGATTGACATCTCCAAGCATTTTTACCTTATTTTTATTCTGGTACCATATTTTACCATTTTACAGAATAGTTCCACTGATCTAAATTCCCTCTTTCTCAGGGTTAAAAACTAATTTTTAATTTAAATCCTAGTAGGAGTTGTGCAATGCTGAAAATGTATACTAACTCACTATTACAAAGCACAGTTAATTTTCTTACGGAAACTAATCTGGTCCTTTCTTTCCTACTGCATCTCATTTCTTCTTGTGGCCCAAACACATGCTAATCATCACCTCATTGATCTCTTAAGTGTCTTTCATAAATAGAATCATTTCATGTGTATTGAAGTTAACCTTGCACAAGTCCATATCAAATAAGTTTTTTGTTTCCCCTAAAAGTGCCATAAACATCCAACCCAAGCCTCTGATTATCATCTTTGACTTTCCTTTAAGCATTTAAACATGAATACATATGAAGGTCAGTAAAGGTTCTAGAATGATGTTGAATAATTAATCTTTAAAGACCATGTAGTAAATCGAAGCAGAGATTTGGGAGCTAAGATATGAAAGTAGAATAAGACTATTGTTGAGTCATTGGTAACATTGCTTTGGAGATGCAGTATTTGGTGGTCAGGATTGAGTATCTCAGGTGCTGTAACTGGGAAATTCATCATATTATATGGATTACTTACACTATGCTTTTTAAAACTCTTTCTTTATGGATATATATGTTCCTGGGTCCTTTGTTCCAGTGAAAATTAAGCCAATTACATGTAGAGTGAAAGCCTAAACTATAGGACTATTCCTTTAAACATAAGGGAATTGATGATCTGAAAAAGTCATTTTAGTGCTGACAACTAGATTGTTGTGTATGGGTAAAGAGGAAATAAAGTAGAAGTTTATACTTTGCTAACTGCTAGGAATCCTAACACAATAAATTAGGTGTAAGCAGACAAAGACCTATAAATTTAACATTTTAGCTTCTTAATCCAATTTACTCTTTGCCCTGATATTTCTAGTGAACATAGTTGTTTAATAATTTTTCTTATCATTCTACTTGCTATTCATTTTCCTTAATAAGCTTGCAGCATTCTCTATGAATCTCACATTCCTGTTCAGCAACACTTTAAATATTTTTTGTTCTCTGCTCCCAGTTCTTTTTTTTTTTGTCTTAACTTTCTCCTCCAAGTTTTTAAGGTCATGTTTAGAAAGTATCAGAGGCACTTGGGTTCAGAACCACATTCATTCCCCTTTCTGCTATAACAATTTTTAGTGTTTGTTTTTTTCTCTATACCAATGAAGTAAAGGAAATTTATATTTCAGAGTACCTTAATTTGTGGACATGGACCTGAAGCCTAAGAATCAATGCAATCCTACAACCATGATAATGTATTAAGATTATATAGTATTAAATTTTGTATTCCTTTGTAGACCTATGGAATATTCATGATCGAGGAGGAAGATACCAAAAACGCCAAGCTGAGAATTCAAGGCAAGTTCAGAATTCAATTTTAAGATTAGAAGCTGTGTAAGAAAGAGTCTTGATGAGAGTACTAGAATTGGGAGAGCACTAGTGAATACTAAATATGAAAAATTAGCAATAATCAAATTCCAAACAAAATAGTGCAAATGGGAAAGCCCTTTATCATAATGGATCAGGAGATTCAAATATTGAAGCAGTCTTTTGAGTCTTCAGAGTTATGCAATAAGGGAGAATTCTTTATACAAAGTGTAATTTGGGCAGTTGGGTGAAAGACTCTGTGAACATAATGCAAGTGAAGGTTCTTTCTACCAAATGTTAAACCACAATATATATCAGAGAGCACTCACAGTGGAGAAACCCTGTGAATCTAATGAATAAGGGAAAATCTATAGAAATCAGTTCTTATGTTGGCAGTGAGAATGGCACCAGGTGTTAGACTAGTGGAATCATATTGGACCTTTGTTCAGCAATCTCAGTTGTTGAGTTATGGCTAAGAAAGAATTTAGAGACACAACTCCAACTGAAGAGAATGTTTATTTAGAAAGTCACAGAGAGAGCCCTAAGAGGAAATGGGTCCGGAAACAAGTTACAGAGGCAAAAGAAGGGTACTTGGGGTTTAGGAGAGAAGAAGGTAAAGGTAATGCACTTGGAGAAAATAAGAGGAGTGGGGGGAAAGGCACAGGCATGCTCCTTAGAGAGAGCCTTGCTAGGTACTTCATCTTGAGGGTATTTTTCGGGAGGTCACAGGGGAGGATTCCAATAGAATATTCATCAGCCTTCTAGGTGTGCCCCCTCAGGGTTGTGGTCTCCACTGATTTGGTCAGCACCAGGGGAGGAAATCATTAGTAAATACATCTGGTCCTGATGTCAGCCATGGCATCACTTATCTGGTTTTGCTGCCTTTCTTGGCCTGAAACTGAAACACTACTGAGGTCTAGGTGTTATTACTGGGGATTAATGCTTAAGGGAGTGATTATACAAGGACCCTATGTGATTTTCATGAGGCCATTCTTTGGCCCATAGTTCCTCCTTCAAGGGGGTGCACCACATAACCAGCAATATGCCAGGGGAAGAAAAGCAAGGGGAGGGTCAGAGACACATGACCAGCGATATGAAAAGCCAAGAAGTCTAAACTTCATGACCAGTGATATGCTATGGGAGAAAAGGTAACCCTGGGAGCAAGGTCCTTGTTTCCCCAGCTTTGCCAGTCACTAGATACTCAGGGCTGTCTGTCCTGGTGACCTTCTGTAACTGGCCCATCACCCTTGCTCTGCTCATGTCTTTCTAACTGCCCACTACACTTAGAGTTCTTTGGAAAATACAGCAGACAAAAAAAATCTTATTCATTAATAAATTTGGAAATTTTTCTGTAGGACTGGAGAACCCACGGATCAGAAAATTCATACCAGAGCAAAAATCTATACATGCAATGAATGTGGGAAGTTCTACTGCCAGAAGTCTGCTCTAATAGTACATCAGCATACCCATTCAAAGGATAAACCCAGTGAGTGTGGGAAATCTGTCTCTAGGAATAGAGATTTCGCAAGACATGAGAAAACTTACACCAGACAGAAAGCCTATGAATGTAAAGAATGTAAGAAAACTTTCTACTACCTGTCATCTCTCAGTAGACATTTGAGGACTCATGCAGGGGAGAAACCCTATGAATGTAATCAGTGTGAGAAGTCCTTCTACCAGAAGCCACACCTCATAGAACATCAGAAAACACACACAGGAGAGAAACCGTATGAATGTACTGAATGTGGGAAGTTTTTCTATGTTAAGGCATACCTAATGGTACATCAGAAAACACACACAGGGGAGAAACCCTATGAATGTAAGGAATGTGGGAAATCCTTTTCTCAGAAATCACACCTTACAGTACATAAAAGAACACATACAGGGGAAAAACCCTATAAATGTAAGGAATGTGGGAAATTCTTTTCTAGAAATTCACACCTCAAAACTCACCAGAGAACTCACACTGGAGAGAAACCCTATGAATGTAGTAAATGTGGGAAATGCTTCTATCAGAAGTCAGCCCTCACAGTACATCAGCGAACTCACACAGGAGAGAAACCTTTTGAATGTAATAAATGTGGAAAAAACTTTTACTATAAATCAGACCTTACTAAACATCAAAGAAAACACACAGGGGAGAAGCCCTATGAATGTCACGATTGTGGTAAATCTTTCTCTGTGAATTCAGTCCTCAGGTTACATCAAAGGACTCACACTGGAGAGAAACCTTATGAATGTAAGGAATGTGGGAAATTCTTTTCTCAGAAGTCACATTTTATTATACATCAGAGAAAACACACAGGGGAGAAACCCTATGAATGTCAAGAGTGTAAGAAAAGTTTTATCCAGAAATCAGAACTCACTGCACATCAGAAGACACACACACAGAGGAAAAGAGCTTATAAATAGTATGAATTGGGGAATTTTGAATGCATCCTTCAGAATAATTAGATAATTCTTGAAAGACAAAAACCTTATGAATATCATCAATATGGAAAAATTTAGCCACAATCTCTCATCACAGAGAGGATATACACAGAGAAATTCTATAAGGGTAAAATTTTTACCGTATGACAGTGTAGATGGCAGAAACACTACAAATGATAAAGTATGAGGAAAACTTTCAGAAGTCATACTTTATTGTACAATATAGAAATCACACAGGAGAAAAATCCTGTAAGTAAAATAAATGTCAGGAAATTTTATGCCAAGGCAGCCATGATTAGACATGCAAAAGCTCACATGAATGAGAAACTCCTATTAGTATCCTGATCATTCAAAAGTCTTTCTGCACTAGTTGGACTCACATTAGAACACTCAAAGAGGGTAACTGCAAAGATTGGAACAGATACAGAAGCCTTTATCAGAAATGATGTTTCAGTGAATGTCAGATTATTGCTATTGGGATAGAACCTTTGTGTATGTGAAAGCTTTCTAAAAGAAAATTCAAAGAGAATCTGTACTGAGGCAAACAGTTATTCTAGAAGTCATGTTACAGAGATCTGATTGTAAGGTGTTTTTTTAGAAAACTGCAAATGTTTGGATATGTGGAACTTTTGAAAAGTACAAATAAATTGAATAATTAGTCAACATCGCTAATACGTGGAGACTCCGGTAGTATGTAGGACTTTTGCATGTATGTGACTGTGCTACAGAATACAGATTGTGGATTTTTCATGTGCATGTGGAATCCATCCACAATTATACATAGGGATTATGTAACATTAGTTCAATAACTTTTATGCATATTAAAATATTACATATTAAGCTTCAGCAGTGATTCCTATTGTTAATCTAATGTGTATTTATTGTTTACTTTTTAAAAGATTTTATTTATTTATTTTTAGAGAGGAAGGGAGGGAGGCAGAGGGAGAGAAATATCAATGTGTGGTTGACTCTTGTGCGCCCTCCAAACTGGGGACCTGGCCTGCAACCCAGGCATGTACCCTGACTGAGAATCGAATTAGCAACCCCTTGCTTCACAGGCCAGAACTCAATCCACTGAGCCACACCAGCCATGGCTATAATGTGTATTTAATGTAATATATTTTTAATTATAATGCATCTTTTTATCCTGTTTTCTGTCATTTTAAATGGATATGTATGTTGAACTAATCTTTCAGAAAGAAGTTAAAAATGTTTTTGTAAAGTTTTCAACTATCAGCTAAACTTTACATTAAGGACACATTTATTTATAGGAAAAGCCTGTGTTTATTTTTAAAACAGCTGAAAATAGTCTATAGAATAAAAACAATGCTATTTAAAAATATGTTATCTATCTTACTGCTGATGTTTCAGTAGGGTGCATAGCTGTTTGCATCTGTATTTTGCAAGGTAGTCCGAAGTGTTCTCTGCTAACTTTTTTTCTGGTAGAAGCAACATGATATATGCTCATTACAGGATATGACACAACCTTTCTATGCCTCAGTTTTCTTTTTAGGAGAAGTGATAGTGATATGTTGGGATTGCCTTGAGGTATAAATGAGTTAATTTTAACACACTTATAATGGTGTCTGATACACAAAGAGAGCTATATGTTAGATGTTATCATCATTATAATTTATAATTCTGGAATTGTTCTGCAAAACAAGAAAAAAGATTGGCTGCTGATATTTACCCCCTATGTTATTGCTGTGCTGTTGTTTGATTTGGTTGCACATTTTTCCTTGAATGGGCCCACTGCCCATGTTTGCCTGAAAAACTATTTCTAAATAATTGAAAAAATTAACAAATATTTTGTAGTGTGAAAATTATGTTATTCAAATTTCAGTGTCCCGTTAATAAAGTTTTATTAGAACACTGATGCAAAAAACATTCATTTGTTTTACCTGTAGCTTCTTTCATGCTATAAGAGCAGGGTTTAGTACTTCTAGCAGAGACCTTATGACCCACAGAGTCTAAGATAGTTACTATCTGGCATTTTACCAAGTTACACTTTTCTGTTACGTAGGGCTAAAAACATCACAATGACTGTAGAGGTACACTTTTATACTTGATTTTTTTTATTTTCATTGTATTTTTTCCCATTACCATTTAGTACTTTTATACTCCCCCCTCCCACTGCAATCACTACTCTGCTGTCCATGTCCATGAGTCCTTTTTCCTTTTTTTGCTCCATATTTGGCATGTGTTTCAGAAATGATGCATACATCAATTTATGGTTGGGTAGTTTTGTGCTGCATATTTCTTTTGTTCAATTTATATGAAAATGTTTAAGCATTGGAATTTTTTCAAATGAATGTATTTTACTTGATGACTTTTCATAACACTAAGAATTTTCCTTATGTACTATAGCAATAAATATACAAAATAAACTGTCTAAGTTGAATCATTAATTGATCCCTCTCCACAGTATTAATATTCCAAATCAATGACCAGATTTCCCTGTATAATTTTAAAATTTTTTCATTATCTCATAGTAAAATAACATCTTTAGGTCACATTAACTAATATAACCTAATAACACACACAAAATTCAATGCCCAACTCCACCACTTACATTACTAGTAATCTACATTATTAGTATTATATCACTAATAAAACATTTGTTGACTGTACTTCATATAATTGTTAAATGATGCTCCAATCTAAATCCTGCCACCCTACTTCCTCTTGTTACTGAAGATTACTTTTAATGATGTTCAACTTTTTAAGCATGCTTTATTCTGATTTGTCTGATGTTTAACTTTAGTGATCACCTAGTATGATGATATTTAGTGATTGCTTGTATCTTAAGAATATAGTTTATATTTATATAACTTCTGAATATTCTGTGGTTAAATATTGTTACCAGTATTCTACTCAGCTCTGACATGAGCATTCCATCTTGATAGAGGTTTAAGAGGAACCTTAATGCCTTTAGTTGTTCTTTGTTTCAACCTGCTGTGAAAGCAAATACATGTATAACTTCCTCAGGCTTCTCAACCAAAAACTAAATAAAAATTAATTAGTACTTTCCATGTATCTATGATTCTGTTTCTATTTTGTGAGGGGAGAGGTTGGGGACTGGATGAAAGATGTGAACAGATTAACCAAAGAACATTTATGCATTACCCATGGACACAGATAACATATGGGAATTGATAGAGGCAAGAGAGAGGGTGGTGTTGGGTGAAGTGAAAAAGGGGAAGAAAATAAAGAACAATTGTAATAGCATGAACAGTAAAAAAATAAAAATAAGAATATATTGCTGAAAAAATTAGTACTTTCCAGGGACAGTCCAATAACATCCAATAACTAGAAGATATATTATTAAGCATAAACCCTATAATAAAATACTTTAAAAATAAATGATATGATAGTAATAAAATATTCCTAGTCTTCAAATTTAATAAAGCCTAGGACTGGTTGTTCTTGGACATAACCTCAAACCATGAATTAGTAGGCACTAGAATTGATGGATCAGGAACAACTGATCAGACATTGATAACAAAGACAATATTTCATGAGTACGCATGTTTATGATGATCAACCAATTTACGACTTCCACAGTTCTGAAAGCCAATCAACACTGTTTGTTCTGACTATACTAGGCAAAGTCAGCAAGTCAGCTACAGCCTCACTCCAATAACTACACTTTTACAACAGACAATCCTCAATACCCCTGCTTTTGAAAGCCCTCCAAATGCTTGACCTCATTTCCCAAAACTGTATCATTTCTTTCTTTGACTGATTTATAAGTATAGCACTCCTTCGGCTAGTGTGGTGGTCAAAGATAGTCTGAAGAAAAAAAGCTATGTACAAATTCAGTGACAGAAGATAACCTTACACGGTGATCTGATCATAAAATCATAATTGGTCAGGTCATGATGTGCAGTCATGCTCCAGGCATACAATTTCTTTACTAAAAGATTTGTCTTTGCAGTATGCAAGCCCTGTCCATTGTTTTTGTGCATCCAGGTTAACACACCTTTGAAATACCTTTTTTTAGATCCCTAGGGATTGTTAATTCCCTTCAGGAGAGTCCATAATCTTGTTAACTATCCTATAATCCAATAATAGAGATTTTTCTGCCTTGTTTTCTCCCAAGATTATGTGATCTTTCTTACATTCCCTCCTTAATTCCAAATGTATAAAAGAGACTGCAGTGGAGAGGGACAAAATGGTGGCAGAGTAGGAGGATATATTGTGCACCTTCTCCCAGACCCAAATTGGAAATAAAATATGAAAGAGAGGACTGGATGCATGACATATACCAAAAATTACCTGAAAAAGAGACTTTTAACCAAGGACAGGGAAAAAGAACACCATTACTGGTAGAAAGGGTGAGGTTGTTAAAGGGGCCAGACCCAACCACAAGGGCAGTTGGCTGAGGTGGTGCCATGGCTGTGCAAGTGTCCCCTTGAAAGGAGAGAAATTGGGACCACAAACCTGGCTCCCAAGCACAAAGCACCAGTTGGGGGGTGCTCCTCCCACAGAGCTCCCCTGGGTCCTCTCAGATGAGAATAAATCTACCAAGACATGATCTGCTTGAGGAGGAAAGTGACCAGTTTCTCAAAGGAGAAAGGCCCCAAACATCTCCTTTCCTGCATCTTTATTGAGTTCACCTCACACAGAGATACATAGTATGCACATAAAGCTGATCAACCAATGCTCAAAAAGCTACAGTCATGAGAAACTGACATCATTTACAGATAATAGTTGAAGAAACACAGGGATTGTCCCTGGACAGGGCTGGCTTTAGCTCAAGTGTCTGTTTCATAGCAACAGGGCAGAGCAAACCTCAAAGGAAACAATGTATTCTTTCTGGCCAGATTCACCCTGGGAGCAGTCTGTTCCAGTACAAGGTTGCAGCTGTCTCTGGCACTGTTCCCAGGCTGAGTCAGGCAGGGAGAGCAAAGCAGCCAAGAGACTGGGAGACTTTCACAGAAAGACTGAGGACTCAGGCTATGATAAAGCCAAGGGGTGAGAGTCTTTCTGCTCCTTCTCTGAAGACCCCTAAGTCCTTCCCTGGTGGCCCATCATGACTGCACCTGTCTTAAGTTGACCCTCCCTCTTGAGGGATCTTTCCTGTCATTGGCTAACCAGTCATCCGCCCTGGCCAAGCAGAGGAAAGGGAAGGAGGCAGGGGCTGCACTCCTGCCCGGAGGAAATGTTCTGTACCCTTAGTGACTCATGTCCCCAAGGCCTTTTCACTCAGCTCTAGCTGTGGGACCCATATTGCCCATTAATGATACTACAGTCCCAGAAAACAGGCAGGACAGCACCCAACACACCAGTGCTGGGACCAACAGACCATGTGTTAGAGGGTGCAGCCAGGGGAGGAGGCAAATAGGGATTTTTAACAGGGTCCAGAAGTCGGTGTCTAGGAAATGTTAGAAATACACACACACACACACACACACACACACACACACACACACACACACGATGTCCTCACCCCCAGAAGTCTAAGCTGGGGGATGGGATGCATGGAGCAGGTCTATTGAGGATTGTTTTGAACAGTGACAGTTTAGCTGATAATCTCTAGAACAGTCATTTAACATATCTATAACCTTTAACTGGTTTCATAAATATGTTAAATAGCTGTAGGCATGCTTTGAGCCAGGGAGACGGGAGTGACTTCAACCCGATATAACTGGGAGGCTGACACGTGATCACCGGCCGGCAGTGATCACGCAATGCCAAGGATGGCTCATCGAAACACGAGAAATGAATATACAGAGAAACAGGCAATTTTCTGTGGAGAAGTAAGGACTGAGTGGCCATTCTCCCAAGTGGAAAAGCACCCCGCCCCCCTGCACAAGCAGGGTTTTATTCTTGAATACCAATACAGTTTGCAAATTACAAGTAGTTAGCTTTTGAAAGGTGCTGGCAGATTTCCTACTGGGATCCTAAGTCGGAGATTTTGGGGTTTTATCATTTAAAAAGACTACAGGACTTAAAGCTTAGTTCTGTTTCCTGCCCATGACTT